TAGCCCAGTGGTGGTTAATTTTATAAAATATAATGCATGGGAATGATTGTATGAAATACAATGTGAATTAAGAGTAGTGTGAAACACAATGTATGTGAACTTTGTAATCAAACTAATATAAAATGGAAAAAAAAAACTAGTTTGTAAAAAACAAAAACAAAAAAACAAACCCCAACCCCATACCATAATGAATGAGAATTATCGTATGAAACACAATGTGAATGAAAGGTCGTGTGAAGCACAATGTATACGAGCTTTGCATACAAACCAAATTAAAATAAAATTTTTTTAAAAATTAAAAAGGTGCTTTTCATACTAAATGGTTAAGTGCTCGGCCATTAACAGATAATCCACTGGTTGTCACCCAGCAGAGGCTCTCTGTGAACTGCTCCCCAAAATATATGCAGCTCCAGCAAGCTGAATGGACTTGAGGACACCACCAATCACCACCATGTACTGACATTGCTGTGGGCACAGAGGAGACAGAGTGAAGTGGAGGACCCACCAATACAGTGGTCTTGCCCCTACCCATCCTGACCCTTCTGCTCACACCCCTTCCCACCTTGGGTCCCCATTCATGACCAGCCACGACTGAATGGATTGAGAATTTGTGGTCCATTCACACAATAGAATACTACGCAGCCCTCAGGAAGACGGATAGGTCCCTTGGAGCATGTGGGGCCCTGAGTTGGTCTGGGGTGTCAGGGGAGGCTCATGGAAGAAGCAGTGTTTCAGCTCAGCCCACAGCTGAGGAGGAGCTTGGTGGTCAAGGAGGCAGGGCCAGCTTTCCTCACAGAGACCACAACTGATCAGAACAGGCCATTACTCTGGGGGAACAGAGCTCTGAGGTCAGAGAATGAGGGAGGTCGTGGCTGGAGCAGGAGAAGCTGTCCATGGTGCAGGGTCTGGACCACAAGAAGGCTTTCATCCTCTATTTCGAGGGCCCTGCGAGCCCACTGGGATGCCTGCCAAGTAGAGTGGCTAAGAACAGGGCGAGAGTACAGGCTCAGGGTCCTGCGGGAGGGCAGTGTGCCCCCAATGGGTGGGCAGAGTCGGGGTGGGACTGGACTTGGCTGAGTGTGAGGGGCAGGAGGAGGGAGGATGGGCCTCAGTCCTCTCACTTCTGAAGTGAGGTGAAGGCCTTCCCCCTTCGCTTACTCTGAGGATTCATTGATAAGAGTAATGCTCTCAGCAGTGTTGGAGTGCCAACCTCCCAGCACTGCACCTCTCCAACTGTTCATTTGCCTCCTCCAAATTTATTAGGCTAATTATTATTCTGACATTCTTTTTTAAATTTTTTATTATTATTATTTATGTGTGTGTGTGTGTGTGTGTGTGTATCGTCAAATTGGATCTGACTGGTGCAGGAGGAGATTGTCCCTCCTTCTTCAGTAGAGCATCTGGTGGATTTGAACCGTGCTCCTCTGGGATTGCAGTGCAGCTTCTTGCCACTAGGCCACCAGAGGTTGCCTATTCCGACCTTCTAAGCTCTGGCTCCCTTCTCTACACTCCACCCTGTCCTCACATCACATAATACACATCTATCTCACATATACTCAGCAATGCCACACAAATATAACCACACCAAGCCTTACCACACACACTCCACACCCCACACACCGTCATGCCTCACACGATGCACACACATCCAACATGTTACACAGAACATATACATCACATCATGCCTAGTGCACACACTGTAACCACAAAGCCATACACCCTACGCGCCACACACAGACATCACACACCCTCCCTGAACAGACTACACAAATTCCAGCTACACACACCCCTCAAGCATGCCACACCATACACCTTCTAATGATCACATGCATGATACACATGACACCACAGACACACAATTCCACACACACACATGCACACATGGGTCTTGTACAGGGAGGGCATTGCCCTCTGAGATAACCTTCTATCCCAGTCCCCCACCTCCCCTGAGGGCCCACACAGAGGATCCCCCTGTGAAACGGCACAAGGCCTCTGCTTGTGTCTGCGACGGACTTCTTGGTTCTGGGTGTTGCTGTGGGCATGGCTGCTCATGGGCCCCCCTGGGCCTCAGTGCACCCTCCCTGGGCCCCTTGGAAACAAGAGCCAGGCTATGGGTGCCCATCTGGTTTGACTGCCGGGGAAAGCCTTTTTTTGCTCGTGGCCAGTGTGTGGAGCAGGTCATCCAGTGAACACAAGGGTCCCGAGCGTATGCTGAGTGGTAGCAAACAGCAGAATCTGCCAGCATTCCTCAAAATTCCCTTGGGCAGCTTGGCACCCAGCTGGACTCAGCCCAAGTTTATTTGGTGATAAGATTTCACTTTCTTTTCCAAGCCTCAAGGGCATGTGCCACCCAGAGCCCCGGCCAGGGCCCTGGTCCTCACCAGCAGCCTGGAACTGCCCTTCAGAGCCCTCACCTGGGGCATTCTGTCCAGGCTCCTGTCTCGGCAGGAGGCACATGATGTGTGCGCTGAGCCTGCGGTAGAACTCCGTACTTCAGAAGGGGCTGTGTTTCCTTTAATGCTTTATTGTCGGCATCTTGAAATTCTAATTTTTGAGCCCAAGGCCCAGCGTTTTCACTTCACACTAGGCCCCACAAACGGTGTGACTACTTCTATTGTGGTCTCTGTTCTCTGCCTTTTCATATCTTTTCAGATTTGAACCGTGTATGCGTTTCCCTTTTAATATTTGGAAACTTAATACTGCAGAAGATAAAAACAAGAAAGTAAACATTTATTATGTCTTGTGCACACTTAGAAATGGTCCTGTACAAATGGCTCTATCATTCCCCACACAGGATAAAATGACCCTCTGCTGTCTGCCTCCCAGGAGAGCGTGCATGGCAAGCCACCCTCTGTGGGCAGCGTCTTTCGCCTCTGGGAGCTCTGAAGGACACTGTGCCCACTCTAGCCTATGTTAGCTTCAAACTGTTGCCCAGGATGTACCAGTTTGTGCCCTCGGGCAAGTGTGGGGAGGAAGGCCCCTAAAACTCCCTTACAAATCCTCCACTAAGTCCCTCTGTCAAAGTGTGTCTTCAGTCAGCCCTAGGCCGGAATCCTCAGCTGTGCCCTGAGCCTGAGCTCCGGGATTCTACACAGCACATTTGTCTGGTGGTCTGGGGCCTGGCTGAGGGAGATGCCGAGAGGCCAGTCTTGTCCACCTCCTCACTGTCTGCAGTCAGGAGAACAAGTAGATTATAGTTATAGAGACTTCTGGACAAAAACTCCATGGATTTCATATCCTAGTACTTGTCATGAACATTGATCAGTAAACCCATCTCTCTTGTCTGAATTATTTAGATTGCATTTACTTATTTCGTGCTAGGATGAAGAAGTTGGAACTGTCCCACAAGACCAGAGGCACTGAACATGTCCTAGGCCCACGCGCAAGCTCTGTCCATCAGCTTTCTGGAGATAAGAGCTCTTCAAAAAACGTGGATGTCCATGTTCCACTCAGGAAGAGAATGGGCACTGCTGCCCTCTGGTGCTCAATGCTAGCACAGCGCCAAGGAGCTGTGGCCCAAGGAAGCAAACAGTCAGGCGTGGTTCCTGGCACTGAAGCTTTGAGTTCTTACCTGAATGGATCTACTTTCGCCATTCCCAGAGCACAGCAAGCTCGTCTTTGCCTCAGGGCCTTGGAGTTTTGCTGCTCCCTTTTTCTAGAATGTTTTTCTTCCAGATTTCAGGTGGCCCTTTCATCCTCCAGCTTTTGAGCCAATGTTGCCTCTTCAGGGAAGCCTTCCTGGGCTAGTCTGTCTAAAATCCCATGACCTTTCCTCCCTTTGTTCATAACACTTACTGCTATTTGGGAATATATGCTTACATTCTGTGGTGATGGCCTCTCTACTTCACTGGGATGCTCTCTAATTCATCTCTAGGGAAAGGAGGGTCCTTGCCTGGTTTGTTTGGGGTTTTTTTGGTCTTTTTAGGAACCTCAATGTCATACAGAGTAAACCTCAAAACCAAACCACTGACAGAGTGAATTCTGGCTCATGGTGACCCTTTATCGAGTTTCTTAGGATGTAAAACTTAAAGAGTGGAGACGGTCCATTTTTCTCCCATGGAGCAGCTGGTGAATTAGAACCACTGACTTCTCCGTTAGCAGAGCAACATGTAATGCACCACACAACTAGACTCCTTTATCATACTCAAGGATGCTGCGGAAGGACTCAGTACATACATGCATATCAGGAAGAACACTGAAGAAGAGCTGGTGCTTCTCAGAACCACAGGCTGCTGTAGGAAGGGCACGTAGCACCCTATTTGACAGATGCACAAGTTGAGGCTCAGAGAGGATTACCAGAGTCACTGGGGTATTGGCAAGGAGGCATGGACCTGAGTGCCTTTTGAAATCTCTCCTGTGCTCCTTCAGTTCTGTAGTTCTGTGGTTCAGTGAGGGACCAGAGGAGGTGGTCCAGGACCGATGAACTTCTACAAGAGGTTGAGACAAATGCTCGGACCCTCACTCTGGGCCTTGGTTCCCAAGGGGAGTGAGGGCACCATCGTTCCGAGCAGAGCTGTGCTTTGAGAGGCATGTGACCGGCTGGGATGAGCAGGACCATCCACAGGAGACGGTAACACAGGAAGCAGCCTGTCTGGCGAGGTGCATTCTGGAATGATGTGTTTAGAAGAAAGTGGTGGGAAAGTCTGGGCCACAAAGGAACTCCTGCAGGGCCAGAATTTGGTTGTAACATTCTGGGCTTCATCTAGACCCCCAAAGGCCCGATTCTACCCTGACCACTCTGTCCCTGAGGCTGCGGCTGCCTCTGTGCTCTGGACACACTTCATGTGGAGGGGTCAGGCACTTTGGCTTCAGAGCTTCAGTCACCTCGACAGGAGAAGCTCATGTGGAGAGACAGTGACTGCTGCCAGATAGCATAGATGCTGGGCCCCGACTGTCTCTCAGAAAACCATTTTGGGTCCACAGTGGGGCTGGCAGCACCCTCAAGCCCGGTCACCAGTCATTGGGGAGGGTCTAGGGGCTCGGGTCGGGCGCGATGAGGGTCAGCAGCATGCTCTGTTGGGCTTGTCTTCTGGCATGAGCTTGATGGAGCCTGTGAGGTAATTCTCTAAGTTGCTTTGATACTGGAAAAGAAGAGTAGAACCAGTGAGGCTTCATGTCCTGAAGAATATCAATACTTTTGTACATGTTCAGCCCCCACTGGAATGCTGGGAAATTGAGGCCTGAAAGGGAAGCCATTGTCCTTTCCCACCTCCTCCTTCCCTTCCTGTTCTCTCAGACTTTTTAAAAAGTATATTTATATACACATACTTGGTAAAGAGATTGAGAGTATTGATAGCTTTAGTTTGCTTGGCTCTACAATAAAAACTCTTGGTACCAGCAGCCAGGAAATTAAAAGACGAATTGCATTGGGAAAGTCTGCTGTGAGAGACCTCTCCATGGTACTGTGGAGCAACGATGTCAGTCTGGAGACTAAGGTGTGCCTGATACAGGCCATGGTCTTTGCCATGAATCGCTATGCATCAGAAAGCTGGACAATGACTAGGGATGACAGAAGGAGAGTTGATGCCTTTGAGCTTTGGTGCTGGAGAAGAGTACTGAATATACCATGGACTGCTAGGAGAACAAACATGTTCATCCTGGAGAGAGTGAAGCCAGGCTGCTCCTTGGAGGCAAGGATTCTGAAGCTTTGTCTGACATACTCTGGACATGTTGCAAGGAGGGACCAGTCCTTGGAGAGGGACATCATGCTTGGGAGAATGCAGTAGAGGAAGACCCTCCATGAGATGGATTGATTCCGTCACTGGGGTAATGGGGATAGGTGTGTTGGAGACAGTGAGATTGGCAAGGGAGAGAGCACGGTTTAGGACTGTTGTACATAGGGTCACTATGAGTTGCAAGCGACTCGACAGCACATCACAACAACAACAAACAATATACACATACATTTTTTAATTTGCATGTGAGTTTACAAATCACATTGGATTTTAGTCATTCGTCCACTTTGTTTTATGACATTAATCACACCTGATTAATGTCGGTAATTACAATGTCTCATCAAACCTTCACTGCACACTGCTTTTCCTTTCACCCTATCCACTTCTTCATTTTCCTCCCTTCTCCTTCCCTTCTCATCCCTGTTAACCCTCCATGACTAAGTTGATGTGCAAACCTTTCCTTCACATTTTAAATTAGTAATTCTCTTTTTGTGACTTGCTTACGTCACTTAGCATAGTTTGTTCTGGATTCACCCACGGGGTGCAGGATTTTAAGAAGTCTTCATCATTTTCCTGTGCTGCATATACTCCTTCATGTGAACGCACCAGTTTCCTTAGCCATTTGTCTGTTGATAAGTATTTGTCTCCCCTCCTTTTTCAGGAGCTCAGGACAGCAGTGAAGTTAGGGGTCCAGGTGGTCTCATCTTCAGCCAGGTCCCACGGCCTTTCCTTCTTCCAGAGGAAGCAATTACATCTGCCAGACACCCTGCCTCACAAACAGCCTGGCTTCGACCTCCTCGACCCCCGTCCACCTCCCACTCAATTTTCTGTGCCCCCACAAATAGACTCCATGTCCCTACAGGCTATTGGCTTCCTTGCCCACTCCCTAGAGTGCTTGGGTCTTAACAAGAGCCCCAGAAAGCCCCTTTCAGGCTCTGACAATTACCCCATCCCCCATTTGGCCCCAGTTCTATCCCAGACCCCCACCCCATGCCTTTGGTTGTCAATGCGGGCCAGTCCTCAAGGAGGTGGATTCGACAGGTCGAAGGGGTTCTTAAGAGGACCCCCTCTCCCTACCCTGCCATGTTCTGTGTGCACTCGCGTGAGTAGGGACCTGGTGGTCTCTGACTACCTTTCCATCTGAGGGGCTAACTTCTGGAGCCTTGCACAACGGGGATCTAGTCATTCCACAGATCCAAGTCCAGGCCTGGTGGTGTCCAGCAGATTCTTGGAAGTAATGAGGGACATCACCATCAAGCGGGCCCTGAATGACCAAGCCCTGGGTCTCAGAAGGCCAGGGCCTGCCTCCTGGGGCCTGATGGTGGTGATCCCACCACAGCCGAGCAGATGCACCTAGCTCTGCGCAGCTCACTGCCATCCAGACAGAGAGTCATTTTTCCTGAAGGCACGGGGCTGTGGGATTCAGCCCTTCAGCACTTTGATTCATTGGGCGTTACAGGTTTGTGGTAACCCTGCCTTGAGCAAGTCTCCTGATGCTAATTTTCCAATAGCAAGTGCTCCTTTTGTGTCCCTGTCACATTATGGTAAATCGGCAACCCCTGCAACTTGTAGGAGAGGGTTCTGGAGTGTCTGCAGAGCGGCTCCATATGTCCCACAAGGAGTCAAGCCAGTGCTGCCTTGGAGGGTGTGAAGCACTTCCTCACACCTCCGTGCTGAGAGAGCTTCATGCTGGCTCTCATCACCTAAACCAGCCTGAGCGCTTCCCACTCACAACGCTGCTTTCGCCCGATAATGGTACCACCTCGTTCTTCTATTTCCTAGAAACCCTCCAAGTACAACCTGCAGGCCCTAATGAGCTGTTGTGGGCCATTCTTTTCTCCAGGCTCTCATCCTCCTGGCTGCCTGAACCATGAGCAATACAGCTGTGTTCTGACGCATGCAGTGCAGCAGTGGGGTGGTGACTGTGCTCCAGCCTGGATTCCTCAATGACCTGTCATTGAACCCAGGGGCCTGAGGACCTCGTAGAGCTTCTGTGACTTCACAGAGCAGCTGCTCACCAGCCCGCTTTTCTCCTAGACACAGCGAGCTTGTCTCTTGTGGGTTGTTGTTGTTGTTGTGTATCACTAAGTCAGAACTGACCCCTAGCTGACCTTTCAGTGGGTTATCAGAGGCAGCAAATCGTACAGGAGGAGATTGTCCATCCTTCTCCTGTGGAGCAGCTGCTGGATTTGAACTGTGTTCCTTTGCACTGGCAGCCCAGCTCCTTATCACTAAGCCACTACAGACCATAAACTAGAGTGGACAGGCCTTCCGTGTTGGCTCCATGCTGGAGCCAAGCTTGACCAGCCCTGGCAGGGGGGTGTCAGTAATTTGGAAGATATGTTCTGCATACACAAATCCCTCAGAGCAGATGGGCGCCTCTTTAACTACAAACTCTGGTGGCACAGTGGGTTTTGTGAGGGATTGCTAAACGAACGGTCAGCGGTTCGAATCTACCGACCGTTCCTTGGAAGGACATCTCATCCTATAAAGATTAACAGACTTCAACACTCACTGGGGCTGAGTCAAAATCAGCTTGATAGGACAGTCGGTTCAGTTTTGTTTTCTCAATCATATTTTGGAATAAACAAACCCCTCATCTTTGAATACAGGCAAATGCTAAGGTAACCAACCTGCATTCTTTCCTTCCAAAAAACTGGGCAGCTGATTCTCCAGTGGATTTTCAGAGGGCACAGGAGGAGATTGCCTGTCTTTCTTTCTCAGAGCAGCTGGAGGATTCGAACTGCCTACCTTTGGGTTGGCAGTGCAATTCTTTACCCTCTAGGCCACCAGCACTCTTTAGTAAACTCTTACTCACCTGCTTTGAATTGAATTGTGTCCTGACCCCCAAATTAAACATATGTTGGAATCTTAGCCTCTATTCCTATGAATGTCATCGTATTTGCTAATAGGGGTTTGTTTTGTTATGTTAATGGGCTCATGTCATTGCAAGATGTATCCTAAATCTAGTTACTTATGAGTTATTAGAAGAGCAGATGAGATACAGAAGTGGGTTTTATAGTGGGGAACATGGGTGCTATGTGGATCAGAAAGGCATCAGGGAACACCTGGTCTACCAACAAAGGAGCCTATACCACAGAGACCCTGGTTGGGAACGTGAAGCCTCAAGAAATGTGAGAAAATGAATTTCTGAAAGCCACTCAACCACTCATTTCTGTTCTGTTCTGTTTTTGCAGCACATGGGAATGAAGACAGCACCCCTGAACTTGGCCTTCCTGGGGCTGAGACCCACCACCTGGAAGCCTTAGACCAGGCTCCCACTGAAAAAAACAACACCCTCTTTTTGAATGCTTCTCTGGGCTGTGGTATTACTTTATCTACATTTAACCATGCTCTCCTGAGGAAATACTATTTGTTCCTTAATGGAAGGGAAGAAACTTGGGCAGCACTAGGGTATTTCAGGTGACTGCGAACCTGAAGGCTGACAGTATGAACTCACTTGGCAGAAGGCAGACCTACTGAGTCGCTTCCAGAAAAATTACAGCCAAGGAGACCCATGGGGTCTACATGAACTGAGGACCAATGCAGCAGCAGCTGAAGACAACAGCAACATACACACAGGGAGGTGCCTTAGAGAGGCGGAGTGACTCGCCCAAGGACACACCACCAGGAAATGGGAGAGTGAGGATTTGGTCTGGTCTCTTCCCTCCTGACCTGTCCAATCTATGCTCACTCACAGCTGCTGTCCATGAAACTTCTGAGGCTGTACGTCTTTACAGCAGGGCCTTCCGCTGACCTCCTCAGCCCCATTGCCGTCCAGGCTATGCTGACTCACAGCGGCCTTCGGCGAGGCTTCTGAAGCTGTATGTCTCAGGAAACTGACCAGCTCTCTCCTGATGAGAGGGGGCTGATGCTCCAACTGTTGACCTTCCCATTAGCAGCTCACCGTGTTACACACTGTGCCTTCAGGGCTCCTTTCCCAGATTCCTCGAACATATCAGGGACTGGGATGACTGAGAATGAGGAGAAAGGTCCTGGTTTTCAGTTTTTGAAAACTGACCTTAAAACTCATATTTTTCTTTGTTTCTTAATTGATAATTTAATGAAAGTTTACAGAAAACTTGGATTTCCATTCATTCGTTTTTGCATATTTTTCTCTCCACCCCCTTTCCCCATTCACTTTTCTCTTTAAAAAGATTCTTTCATTGATACACAATTTCCTTCTTCCTCCCAGCCCCCAGTACACTTTGTTATGCACCTCTTATTCTGGACTGTTGTCATGCAAACAATACCTAATCATACAAACAATACCTAATCATATATTTCTTTTAGACAGTTCTTTCCCTTACCTGTTTCAATGCTGTATTCATTATCCTCTCATTTCTTAGTTCCCCCTGAACATCTATGGTAATCCTATTTTATAACAGTGACATTATGCTGTATTTGTCCTTTTGTGACTGAGATATTTCACTCAGTGTAATGTCCTCCTGGATCACCATTTTGTATAATATTGCATGCGTTTCTTTTTTCAGTGCTGCATAGTATTCCATTGTATGAATAAACCACAACTTCTCTATCCATTCATTTGTTGATGGGCACTTGGGTTGCTTCCATCTCTCTTATTGGGAACAATGCAGCGGTAAACATGGGTGTGCATATATCTGCTTGGGTGGCAGTTATGGTTTCTTTAGGGTAAATTCCCAGTAGTAGAATTGCTGGATCAAGTGGTATTTCTATTTCCAACTTTTTGAGAAAGCTCCATACTGCCTTCCATAGTGGTTGCACCATTTTACATTCCCAGCAACAGTGAACAAGTTTCCAATTTCTCCACAACCTCGTCAGCATTTGTTGTTTGCTGCTCTGTTGAACTTTGCTATTGTTACCTGGGTGAGATGATTTTTTGAAACTAGTTTATCTTCAAAAAGTGGTTGTTGAGGTCTCTGACCTAATTAGCATGTTTGTTAGTATCCTGTAGATTTCTGAATAATATTGACCTTGAGGAAGATGCACCTTGTCTATCCTGTGGTGTTGAGATCCTCCTGTGTGTCCTGAGAGGCTAGCAGGGGGTTCTGGAAAATGTAGTTTATGGGCATGAAATCCTAACTCCTGCAAGGCCCTTTTCTAACTGGCCCTTACTGCCCCTGCCAGCTCATTGCTCACCATATTCTCACATCCCCAGATCCCTCCACACCATGTTGCTTTCTCTTGAAAATGGAACCTGTAGTTAGTTCCCCACATGCACCTTGTGGATTCATGTGGGGCTTACAGCCGGGCTCTTCTGTGGCCCCTCCTACTCACACCCACAATGGGCTGTTTCCTGGGGCTGTAGTAACATATTGCTACCACTGGGTGGCGTAAAAACCAGACATTTGCTCTCACAGTTTTCTGGAAGCTGTTGGGTGCTGCTGGTGCAGTCAATTCTGACACACAGGGGACCTTCTACACAAATCAAAACTGCCCTGTTTCCTTGGCTTTGTAGGGCGAGCTCTGGTGGCCTCGTGTGGTAAGGCTGCATTGTCAGCCTGAAGGCATGTGGAGAGAAGGACTATCTCCTCTAGTGCAATTTCTTCCTTTGAGAACCCACTGGAGAATCAGCCATCAGTTCCGAGCCAATGGTAACACAACAGGTAGAGTTTGAACCAGAACTTCAAACCAGTTTTGCTTGGTTGAGTCATGACTTCACTGATGAAGTGAAACTGGAATGGACCCAAATCTGTAAGACATGGGTGTGCTGGGAACAATTGAAATAAGCCGACACCCTGTTAGAGGCGCCTTAGAAAACAAGCAGAGTGTATGCACGACATAGCAGCCAAGTCTCTTGACTAGGTGAACAGTTGTTGCCCTACTCAGAGATGGTGGCTGACTTTTCTGCTTTGAACTCATGTCTTCTCCTCCATGTTGGCAATAATCCCCTCTCCAACATCAGGCTCCTGAAAGACCTTACGATGCCTTTTCCTATCTTTCATTCCAGGGCTTCAACCCCCATTCCAGTTATAGTTCTGGTACACAAACATTTAACAAATTCATATCTATTTTGATTTCCTGTGTTGGTCGTGTCTGAACTGGTTCAAATAGATTTGAAGCCCTGATTTGAATCATCAAATTTTCAGTTAGCAGCTGTGCTCTTAACCACTGTGCTACAAGAGCTCTTTGTGTAGAGGCCAGAAGTTCAAAATCAAGGTGTCTGTCCTCAGGGTTATTCCCAGGGAGAATCCTACCTTGCCTCTCCCTACCTTCTGGTTATTGTTGTGTGCTATTGAGCAAGAATCAACTCATATGTGACTCTCCAATGGGTTTTCCGAGGCCATCAATCACAGGAGAGGAGTCTGCCCATCTTTCTCCCATGGAGCAGTTGGTGGATTTGAACCACAAGCCTTGGGGATTGCAGTGCAGTTTCTTACCACTAGGCCACCAGAGCTCCCTACCTTCTGGCAGTCCCAGGAAGTCATTGGTGTTCCTTGGCTTGTTGCTATGTTGCTCTAAGCTCTACTTCTGTCTTGACATGGCCTTCTCCCTGGTGACTCTGTCCCTAAACCTCTTTGCTTACCAGGACACCAATCATCAGATTTAGAACCCACTGTTATCCAGGATGACCTCATCTTAGCATGATTACATTTGCAAAGACAATTTCCAAATGAGGGAGCTCTGGTGACCTAGTGTTAAGAGGCTGCACTGCAATCCCAAAGACACATAGTTCGAATCTACTAACTGCCCCAATGGAGAAGGATGGGCAGTTTCCTCTCTTGCAATTCACTGCTTCTGAAAACCCACTAAAGAGTCAACTATGAGTTAGTTCTGACTCAACACCATACAACAACATTTCCAAATGGGGTCATATTCACTAGGGGGGAGGTGGTTGTTGTTATGTGCCGTCAAGTTGCCTGCGACCCATAGCGACCCTGTGGGTAGCAACTCTGAATGCTGCAAAGTCCTGAGCCAGTCTCACTAATTGTGACACACCAACCTCAATTGCCCCAATTACTGTTTCAATCCATCTCATTTGGGGTCTTCCTTTCCTGCGCTGTCCCTCCATCCTTCTGAGCATGATGTCCTTCTCCAAGGATCGGTCCCTCCTGGCCACATGCCCAAAGTATGTGAGACGGAGCTTCAAAATCCTAGCCTCCAAGGAGAAACTTGGTTTCATCCTAAGACAGACCTATTTGTTTTCTTGGCGGTCCATGATATGTTCAAGACTCTTCTCCAGCACCACAATTTGAAGGCATAGATTTTTCTTCTGTTATCCTTAGTCATTGTCCAGCTCTCTGATGCGTAACACATAATTGCGAAGGTCATGGTCTGCATTATGTGTACCTCAGTCTCTAGACTGACATCGTTACTTTTCAGTACTCTAGAGAGGTCCCTGACAGTAGATTTTCCCAATTCAGTTGTCTTTTGATTTCGTGATTGCTGTAATTTTTAACAACCTCATTTCCCCTCCTCCCCCCCCAACTATCATGGTGCTGACAATTGGCCCAGTGATGAGAATCTGTCTTCTTGATGTTGAGCCCCTGGTCTTAATGAAGACTAGGGGGTTAGGACTTGAATATATCTCTTGGGGGGATAATTTAAGCCAACACACCTACCATGTCCACTTACATGCAACTAATTCTGTTTTTAAACCTAACTCATAATGCTACATTTCTTTCATTAGGCATCCTTGCCCAAGCTTGCCACCAAGTACCTCTTGGTTGCCTCTCGACCTTAACCACACCGTTTGTGGCCTTATCACACTCCATGACAGTCTGGTCATCAAAACTACTCACCCTGGACAGTGCCTGGCTGGCTAGCATCTCAAAGGCCTGCACCACGTTGATGTCATTCTTGGCACTGACTTCAAAGTAGGTGATGCCTTTTTCTTTGCACCAGTGCTGGGCTACCTCCTGGGACACCTAAATGAAGGGAAGCAATGATCTCTGTTTATAGGTTCTGATCAGCTGTCACCACCCTCACCAGCATCTCACCCCCACCGCCATGTCACTTCAATGTCATTATCATCCCCCATCATTCCTGCCACTCCCAGGATCACCACTGAATCATCACCAGGACACATCATAGCCCCACCACCCTCTCCAATCACTGCCTTCCCTGTGTCTATTACTTTACACATATCATCTCTTACTTCCTCCACATAAATCTGTGAGGCGAATATTACAAGGTCTACTTTCTAAATAAAGAAAATGAGTCGTGGAGAGTTAAGAAATCTGCCCAATGTGTACAAGAATTTGAGCCTGAATTTGAATCCAGGCCTGGCAGGAGGCGGCCCCAAGGCTCTATGCTGACTTCCCAAGGTCAAAACACAGATCTTCCTGTATTTTCTGGCTTTTTCTGCCTCAGAGCTTCTTCTTACCTCTGGCTTTTCCAGGGAGGGACTGTGGGGACTGAGGACTGTCTTTCCCTGAGCTGGCTGCACAGACACAGCCCCTGAGTACCCTTCTTTCTCAGGGCAGAGCCCTAGGAACAAACAATCGGATGCCCTAACTATGGGCAGAGTCCTGTGAGTCAGAATTGACTGGATGGCAACGGCTTGGTGTCCTTTTTAAATCGTCATTTATGAACCAGTCACTATGTTAGACACTTTATCACATATGAACTCACTCAGTGCTTTCAATAAGGGCCGTGGTGGTACAGTGAATAAGTGCTTGACAGTTAACCAAAAGGTTGATGGTTCGAAGCCCACTCCCCGCTCCTGAGGCCCCACAAGAGAGAGGTCTGGACATACTAGGATTTGCCCAAGGTCACTGGGGCCCTCTGATCTGATAAAGCTCTGTCTCTTCCCTCCCACTGGGCAGAGTGGCCTGGTCTGTCCTGGTGCCAGGTTATAACAGACTATGTATATGTAACAGACTATGTATATATAACTCTACTGTGTCTCTTTGTAAGGAATAACAGATGACAGCAAGGGTAAGTGCTTGGTTACAAACCTAAAAGTTAACAGCTTGAGTAGAAGTGGAGGTGCTTGGGAGAAAGGCCTGGTGATCTACTTCTGAGAAACCAGCCACTGAAAACCCTGCAGAGCACGGTTCTGCTCTGACACACACACAGGTCTTCAAAGTCAGAGTCAGCGCCACAGCAGACGCTGGTGTCTCCTCGTGGCTGGATGCAAGTGAGCATCACATATCAGCAGGGATTAGGCTGCAAATATTCCCTGGGCCTCTCTCCTACATCCTCAGAAATCGGTTGAGAAGAAATCTGGTCAGCTTCATTGTTCACTTTTCTCTCCTCCAATTCCAACTATGTTTTCAAGATGTTTAAAATGACTGGCATGATGCTTGGGGAAGTGTTTTTTTTTCCATTGAGTTCACTTTTGATTGACAATAACACTATGAACAAGTTACCTTTGTTCTGATTTCATCATCAGAAGCTACATGTTTGGCAGAATAAGTCTAGTTTACATAATTTTATCTATAATTGTTTACCATGTTATTTCCACGTATGTATTTTTACTTTAATTTTTGGTTTATACATTTTAAATGATCAATTATATAAAATTAGCAGGCCAAATAAATGTAAGCCATTTACTCAAAATAGCAAAGAACATTTTTAGAAAACATAATCTCAGGACATTGTGCTTGGAAGGGTGGAGGGACAGTGCAGGAGAGAAAGGTCCTGGATGAGAAGAACTGACACAGTCACTGTAGTCATGGGGGTAGGTGCGTCCAAGACAGTGAGACTGGTTCAGGATAGGACAAGGTGCAGAGCTGTTGCTCATAGGGCAGTTATGAGTCACAGGCAACTTGATGTCACATAAAGACAACAACAACACAGGATTAAGAACCTGTGGTAAATTAGAAATTACCTAACCAAGCATAGAAAAAAAGAATCTAAGTGAAAAGCTTTTTTTAAACACAGGTATTAACAAGGTTATGAATCACCTACAACTCGATGGCACTTAACAACAGCATAGAGAGAGGTCAGTTGGGCTAGAGGACAGAAAGTGATGCTACCAAGCCAAAGGTGGGTGACTCTAATATGTGGCCCTCAGGCCTATCTTTGTTTTTGGTGAAACATTCTTCTAGGTCATATAGCCCTGGTCTGTCCACTTGCTGTACAGAGGTAATGCGTGGTTGCTGTGAAACTGAACACTGTGACACTGATGTGTCAAATGCGATAATGATTACCCATGGTGAACACTGTTTGGTGGAGCTCCCCAATTAAAAACAAGCTTGGAAGCAGGAGTGGCATCCATTTCTGTAATAGCTTGCCTGCAGAAACCCTATGAACCTGGAGAAAGGACGAAAGTTATACAGGTGTCCAGGACTTTCATTCATAGCGTAGCTATGAGTTGCCTATGACTCGATGGCAACAAAAACAGCAAGGCTGCTATTTTTAACAAACTGGCTTTTCTTCCCTGTTGTTGCCTGCTGGAGCAGCAGTGGGGTGCCTGGTAGTGCAAAGGGTTAACACACTATGTTGATAACTACAGAGTGGTGGTTCAAGACCACTCAGAGGTGCCTTGAAGGAAAGGCAGCAAAAATGAGCCATTGAAAACCCAATGGAGCACAATTCTATTGTAACACACATGAGGTTGCAATTCACTCAATGGCAACTGTCTTTTTGGTTTTTACTGGTAGCAGCTGTAGGGATTTTTTTTAAGCTCTTAAGTCAGTATTTCTATAAATTCATCCAAACAATCTTTTTTTTTTTTTACCACCAGTTTTTTAAAAATAGAAGCTGTCATGTTCTGCCTCACCTATTATTCTGCCTCACTTATTATGTTTTCGTTTTGGGGTTCCCCCCCAACAATATATTTTCAGAAGAACCCAGTCCTTCAAGAGACATCATCCTGGGAAAGGCAGAGGGTCAGTGAAAGAGAGGAAAACCCTCAGTGAGATGGACTCAGACAGTGACTGCCACAATGGGTCAGGGCAGGACAGCCGCAACGGGCCGGGGCAGGACAGAGACGGGGAGCAAGGCACAGCACAGAGCTCAGCTACGTCGTTCACAGCCTCATCACCACGAGCTGTAGATGACTTTGTGGGTGTGAGACCAGACCTTGGAGAAGAATGTCATGCTCGGAAGGGTGGAGGGACCGTGAGGGAGAGGAAGACCCCAGATGAGATGGATTGATACAGTGACTGGGCAATGGGGGCTGGTGTGTCAGAGTCAGTGAGATTGGCTCAGGACAGGGCAGGCGTCAGAGCTGCTGTACATAGGATCACAGGTAACTTGATGGCACATAACAACAACAACAACAACAGCAGCAGCAGCAACACTGTGCTCTTAAATGTGCATTTTGGTTTTGTTAACTAAGTTGGCCTAATGGACAGAAAGTTATGCTACCAAACCCAAGGTGGGTGATTTTAATCTGCAGCCCTTAGGCCTGGTTTAAATTGTTGGGTATTTTTTGTCAAATATTCTTTTAGGTGGTATAGCCAGCCCTGGTGTGTCCAGTTGCTGTACAAAGGTAACTCGTGGTTACTGTGATGCTGAACACTGTGACACTGATGGGTCAAATGCAATAATGGTTACCCATGGTGGACAGTGTTTGGTGGGACTTCCCAATTAAAACAAGCTTGGAAGCAGTAGTGGCATCCACTTCCGAAATGGCTTGCCTCCGGAAACTCTATGAACAGTGCTCAGGTCTTTCATTCATAGGGTATTTTTGAGTCATCTACAACTCAATGGCACCTAACAACAATAGAAATAGTTCATACTCCATCACTTTTGTTGTTAGGTGCTATGAAATCACCACTGACTCAACACGATCCCGCACAGGACAGAGGAACCCTGTCTGACCTGCACCGTCCTCTCGCTGTGTGGTGCTTCGTTCAGCCGGTGGCTGTCAAGAGCTTGGGAGGCATCACTTCCTTTCGTTCTCAAATTGCCTCATAAAGGCCACGTTCTGGTCTCATTTCACAGACGAGGAAACTAGAACTGGCACAAGGACAGCCAGCCAGCAAATGGGGGTGTGGTGGGGTTTGGTTGATTTAAGTATGACTCTGTCTGACAACAGGAGGGTGTCCCCTTGTTACCCCCATCACATCTCCTCACTCTGTGTAAGTGAGAACGTGCCTCCCACCCCTCCCATCTCTGAGCCCAGCATGCACTGCCTGTCAGCTGTTGGTGTGTGTCTTTGAGTCTATGCTGACTGATGGCAACCAGAGAATTTCCTCACCTGTAAGACTACAAATGTGGATTACATCTCAACATCAAGGAAACAAAAGTCCTCATCATAGGGCCCAGAGGTAACAGCATGGCAGATGGAGAAAAGATCGAAACTGCAAATGACTTCATCTCACTTGAATCTGCATCCTTGGTAACCAGCAGTCAAGAAATCAAAAAACGTGTTGTACTGGACATAATCTACTGTCAAGGCCTTCTCTAAGGTGCAAAGGAACAATGATGTCAGTTTAAAGACTAAGGTGTGCCTGATCCAAGACATGGTCTTTTCAAGTACTTGCTATGTATCTGAGAGTTGGGCTGTGAGTAAAGATGGCAGGAGGAGGGTCAATGCCTTTCATTTGTGGGGTTAGAGAAGAGTACTGACTATCCCCTGGACTGCCAAAAGAAGGAACAAACTGCTTTAGAGAGAGTGCAAACAGGGTGCTTCTTAGAGGCAAAGATGGTGACATTTTGTCTCACATACTTAAGGAGCTCCGGTGGCCTAGTGGTAAGAAGCTGTGCTGCAATCCTGAAGGCGTGCAGTGCAAGGCCTCCAGCTTCTCCATGGGAGAAGGATAGGCAATTTCATCCCATGTGATTACTTGGGCCCCAAAACCTGCCGGAGGTTCAGCTAAGGGTCGGTTCCGACTCTATGGTACACAACAACTTTGGGCGTGCTGAGTGGGAGTCAGTGCTTGGAAAAGAACATCACGCTTGGCAAGATGGAGGATCAGTGTTAGAGAAAACCTTCACCAAGATAGATTGGCATGGTGACTGCAGAAGGCTG